AGATGGCGGTTGGCACACATGATGGTATATTCTAAGTATACCAGGGGCATAGGGTGCTCTGGCTTGTAGAGCAGGGAGGGCAGGGAGGAGAGAAGCAGCAGGAGCCGGGGAAGCCTTAACTAAACCTGAAAGACAGAAGTTCTCCAAATGAACTGGAAAGTTCTTCAGCTGAGGGTGGGTAGAGGCCCAGCGCCGCTGGTGACCCAGAGTGGATGTCACTGGTCACTCTTCCCCCTAGAGAGAGGCATCAAGGTGGTGATGGGACAAGAGCGATGCCATGTCAATGTCATTGCCTCTGCCCACTGGCTCTGGCATGCCCTGAGCCCTTCTTGCCAACCTGTGGGCTCCTCATTGCCCCGACCGCCCAGCCCATGCCTTCCTCCTCCAGCCCACACACTCCTGCCTCATTGTTCCCGCCTCTGCTTCCACCATGCCTGGAACAAACTTTCTTTAGGGGGAGGGGAGGGCGTTACTATTTCTTTGTCACCATTTGTCCCCCTCCCAGACTGTGAGCTCTTATAGGTAGAAGCGTGTTGCTGACTCAGCCATGGCCTCCCAGCCTGTGGCAGGGCTGAGTTCAGGGCACGGCAGGCAGTGAACATGCACGTGTGCCTGTGGCCCGGTAGTGACTTCAAACAGGTTCCTTGTCCAGTTTGGGCTTCCTTTTTTTCATCTGTAACGCTCAAGAGTTGAATAGGTGGTTTTTCTGCAGCTATTTCCAGCTTTGAGATGTATGAACTTTTGAACTAGCTGTCCACCTCTCCTCATAATCATCTCCAGATTGGGGGGGGCACCTGATTAGAGGGAGGATGAAGAGGGGTGTTGGGTTTTTTGAAAAAGTTTGTGTTTCAGTAAACACCATGAACCCCCTTGGGGATAGCCTTGGGGAAGTCACCTGGTACCCCGGTGAGGTTGTGCAAGTACCCAGGTCACCCTGGGACTGAGCAGACCTCTGGGCCGAGCGTAAACTCATTTGGCTTACCTGGTTTGTATCATTTGTTTCCTTCACTCTATAGCCAGCAGAATCCAGTTTTCTTTGTGTGCTTTTGTTATTTGTTTTTAAATATAGGAGTCACTGTTAGAAAATAAAGTAACAAACACCTGTGCACCCTCCATTGCACAGAATTGAGAGTCACCGTGTTATCCTATTGGCTTCCAGTAATTTCCATTGGGAAGAATTAGAATACTACAGGTGGAGTTAGAGACCCTTGATTCCCCATCTTCAGTGCTTTTAAAAATTCATGTATTGGACACTTAGAAGTAATTTAAAAAATAAACTCTGTGGTTCTTTTGTGTGTGTATATATATTTATGGGAGGGGGACTCACTCTGTCACCCAGGTTGGAATGCAGTGGCATGCTCACAGCGACCACAGCCTCGACCTGCTGGGCTCAGGCGTTCCTTCTGCCTCAGCCTTCCAAGTAGCTGGAACCACAGGCCCGAGCCACCACGCCCGGCCAAAATTTTTTGATTTACTGTAGAGACAAGGTCTCGCCAAGTTGTCCAGGCTTGGTCTCAAACCTGTGGGCTCAAGCAGTCCTCTTGCCTCCACTTCCCAAAGTGCTGGAATTACAGGCATGAGCCGCCACGCCTGGCCTATGTTTTGTATATTTCACCACAACTAAAAATCTTAGAAAATCTCAAGGGAACAGTTCACTTGGGGGCTAGCACAGCTGGGCCCCCTTTTCTGGCTAGTAGCTGAAGAACTGTGTTTTCTCTTTTTGCCCATCTTGTGGCTGTAACCCCCGCGCCCCCGCAACCTTCCTCTTCTCAGTCAGTGGCAGTGTCGTTCCCCAGGCTTTGGAAAGGTGGTCCCTGATCACTCCTGCCCTCACCCCCCACCCCACACTGATCCACCAGTGAGCTGTCGTTCCACCTCCTAGACAGGTCCTCGACCCTCTGCGGCCCCCGCCCTACGTCCCCGGTTTTCTCCTGCACTCTCCTGGCCTTCTGGCACCACGAGATGCCCAGAACCAGAATCACCCATCTCTCCTAGGAGTCAGTCTAGTATGTTTACTGCCCCTGGAGGGTCATTGTTGGCCTTGGAATATGTCCCACTAAGGCTGGGTGCAGTGGCTTACGCCTATAATCCCAGCACTTTGGGAGGCCGAGGTGAGAGGATTGCCTGAGCCCAGGGGTTTGAGACCAGCCTGGGCAACTTGGCGAGACCTTGTCTCTACAATAAATCAAAAAATTAGCCAGGCGTGGTAGTGCGCGCCTGTGGTTCCAGCTACTTGGAAGGCTGAGGCAGAAGGACCGCCGGAGCCCAGCAGGTCGAGGCTGCAGTGGCCGAGAGCATGCTACTGTACTTCAGCCTGGGCGAAAAAGTGAGACTCTGACTCAGAAAAAAAAAAAAAAAAAGAATATGTCCCACTGCAGGTGTCCAAAGCACTGTGGTCAAAAGTTATTTGAACTAAATCTTTCCTCTGTAGTATGTTGTCAGTCTGGTACACAGTGAAACTCACTTGTCTTTAGCTGCATTCACTGTGGTGGGGACCTTGTTACTTTTTGTTTTAGTTGTAGTTCTGGTTCTGAACCAACTGTATGATTCCAAAGTGAAAATTCCCAGGCATATGCAACTGGGTCTCCCTGCTACTCCTTTACCTTCATCTTGTTCCCACCTCCCACATGCAGGGACCCAGTTTTGCTTGTTCCTGTTGTGCCCTGCCTTCTTTCCCCTTCCTCCTTATAGAAGAGGTGGCATGCAGTGGGCATTGTTCTTTGCTCTTCCCACTTTACCCTAGACCCCGGAAGTCACCCCTCGCAGTTCCCGCAGCATTCCTCTAGCCTTTCTGCTGGCTGTACAGAACTCCAGTGTGCTGGTGTGCCAGAGTTCTTCACCCAGCAAGTCCCTGGTGATAGGGGTCTGGGGTCTGCAGCCTTTGGCTAGCAGAAATAGTGCTGCAGCGAATAACATCTTGCATATGTCATTTGGCATTTCTGAAGGTGCCTCAGTGTAGATTTCCAGAAGGCATTCCTTTGGTCGTGTGGTTTGTGTTTGCATGGTGGTTAAGATATTTGGGAGTGCAGATGAAAGTTTCAAAGAAGCCAGGTCCTTCCCATTAGTCCTGTGTTTTGCTCTGACTTCAGGACTGTCGGGTGCCAGAGAGTAGCCCTGGTCTTAGGCAGTGCCGTAGTGAGTTGCATGGGTGTGGTAGTTCTCATCTGTCTGCTCCTTGCCCTTTCTCCCTGCCTACTCTGCTGGCACCTCTCCTCTCCTCCTCTACTGGGCACTGCCAGCAAGCCAGTCTCAAAGGCCAAGTAGGTGGGCCACAGGCTACACCTAGCTTCTTAGGGTTCTTCCTCATTTTCCATGGAAAACCCCAAGACTGAGAGACTTGAAAAGTGAGTGCTGGAGCAGATTAGGGACCCCTGCTTTGCAGTAAGCAGTGGCACCCTGGCTGTGAGATACATCTGTGTCTAGACCCTGACAGCCATACTCTGGCCCCTAAACTGCTAGAGGAAGGCACAGACAGAGAAGTCTGTATCACAGTGGGGCCAAGACATTTCCTCAGTCTAGGACCTTGTTACCAAACTAAAGCCACCCTTGCCTCTCTACACGTGACCTGACGGTTCTGGAAAAATGTGTCCTTGTAGCTTCTGAGTCCTGGTGCTGGCCAGCCTTTGGTAACTTACCGATATCCTTTGAGTCCTGGTTTCCTGACGAAGCTTGCCAGGACACACCATGGTGCCTTCCCTGCAGTATCTGCAGTATAGACAAGAGGGGAGGTTGCTTGGGGTAGACCAGCCACAAGGCAGTGACCAGCACTGACATGAGCCACGTAAGATGGGAGAGTTGGGCTTAGAATGCAGAGGACAGGAATAGTCATGCTCTTTTACAGAATGACCTGCTAGCTAAGGGACTAGCCCATGACTGCTACTTCTTTTCAAGCCTCCCTTAGCCTGGTCACAACTAAGACTGCCAGTGTTGGCAGTGTTGCTGAGGTTCTGCAGTCCTAGGAGTCTCACCGTGGCACACTCAGATGGGTTCTAGAGCTTCGTGGCCAGATATTAATCCCAGGGCCCAGGGCCTCACAGTGGCCATTTCTGAAGTACACGAGGAAGGGGCCTACCAGGCCAAACCCAGGTGTAGGGAAAGAGCTGCTTCTGTTAGCAAAAAAGAATGGAGAAGTATCCCATCCTAGAATGGGGAATGTGCTCTTTGCACCAGCAGGAAGGGGACATATGGTTCTGCCTGAACCACATCTCTTTCCTTGCCCTTCCCTCCACGTCTGCCATGGCTGTGGCCATTCCTTGTAAGGGAGCATCTTGTGACACAGGCTCACGCGACCTAGGATCGCATCTCTTCTCACACCAGAACCCTGGGCAGCAGTCAGCTTGTATTTATGTAGTGCCTTTTCTCTCGTGATCCTCACAGTAAGGATGCCTCTGGGATGGGGTTACCCATGGTTGAAATCAGGAAAGTGAAGCATAGATGCTAAGGTCATTTGCTCAGGTTCATGTTTGGAAAGTGGCAGCGGGTTTGAGCTCAGGTTGGCTGGTTCCAACCTGTGTGTTCTTTCCGTGAGGCCACACTGTGCCACCTCACAAGTTGTGTCGGCCTGGTTCCCGCCAGCAGGTGGCCGTGTGCTTCATGGAGCACACATTGGGCGGGTGTGTTAACACGTTTGAGAAAACCGAAAACACACCCAAGCCTAGGCCCTCATGAAGGGGACCCTACCCCCATTTGGGGTGCCCAGCTCCCTTTCCAGCAGTCGAGGACCTCTTGTCAACTGTCATTCCCAGAGGCCCTTGGGTGCGGCTCTTGCAGTGCTGAGTGGGGTGTGGGGTGGCCATGGAGTAGGTCAGGTAAGCAGGGCCAGCACACCCGAAGCCCAAACCCTGCAGAAACCGTGGGGCCCCAGCCTGGCCCAAGGCTCCGTTGTCCTGGGGAAGGTGATCAGGCTCTGAGTGGACGGTGGTCCGGGGCCTGCCCTTGCTCACTTTTTCTGCAGACTGCTGTGTTCTCTGTGATACTCACATACCTGTTTAACACTTCAGGGAAGAAAAATCAGAAGACCAGGACCTCCAGAGCCTCAAAGACAGACCTCTAAAGTTTAAAAAGGTGAAGAAAGATAAGAAAGAAGACAAAGAGGGCAAGCATGAGCCTCTGCAGCCATCAGGCCACCACTCTGCTGAGCCCGCAGAGGCCGGCAAAGCAGAGACATCAGAAGGGTCGGGCTCTGCCCCCGCCGTGCCAGAAGCTTCTGCCTCCCCCAAACAGCGGCGCTCTATCATTCGTGACCGGGGGCCCATGTATGATGACCCCACCCTGCCCGAAGGTTGGACACGAAAGCTTAAGCAAAGGAAATCTGGCCGCTCCGCTGGGAAGTATGATGTATATTTGATCAAGTAAGTAGGAGCAACTTCTGACTCAACAGGGCGGGGAGGACAGGGACAAGGATTTCTTGGACTGCTCTTTGCTGCTTGTTGGTCATGAAACTGCATGTGCATGACCCCATCTGCAGGGCATAAATAATGAACTCTGATGTCCTTGGCGTCGCAGACCCTTTACCCTCTCCACACCTCAAGTCCTTGCAACTTCTAGAGCCAGAGGTTTAGGGAAAGGGTGAAGAGGCACATTTCAGTTCTGTTCCTTAAATGATCCCAAAAGGGTTAGCAGTTTTCAAAAGCTGTGTGTAGACAGCCTCATTGAATGCCACAAGTCAGAGAAGGGTGAGCAAAGGATCTTCCTATTGAAACGGGTTTCCATCCCTGGGTTCAGACATCGGAATACTGTGATGGTGGGTCAGGCCAGGCACCAGCCAGCAGAATGGGCCCCTGCCTGGTAGCCCCTGCCAGGTCAGGCCTGACCCTTTTGGTTCCTGGATTGTGGAGAGGCGGAGGAGGTGGGGCAGAAGAGTGAGCGGCCTTGGGGACAGACCAGTCCTCGGGAGCGTCCAGGCATTGTGAATCTCATTCAGTAGTCATGTCTATCAGAGTGTCACTCTGTCACTCTGCCCCATCTCTGGCATTCCCGTGGAAAGCTTCTAATTGTTCTTGTGTCTTTGCATTTGTCCCCACAGTCCCCAGGGAAAAGCCTTTCGCTCTAAAGTGGAGTTGATTGCGTACTTCGAAAAGGTAGGCGACACATCCCTGGACCCTAATGATTTTGACTTCACGGTAACTGGGAGAGGGAGCCCCTCCCGGCGAGAGCAGAAACCACCTAAGAAGCCCAAATCTCCCAAAGCTCCAGGGACTGGCAGAGGTCGGGGACGCCCCAAAGGGAGTGGCACCACGAGACCCAAGGCGGCAGCGTCAGAGGGCGTGCAGGTGAAAAGGGTCCTGGAGAAAAGTCCTGGGAAGCTCCTCGTCAAGATGCCTTTTCAAGCTTCGCCAGGGGGCAAGGCTGAGGGGGGCGGGGCCACCACATCCGCCCAGGTCATGGTGATCAAGCGCCCTGGCAGGAAGCGAAAAGCCGAGGCCGACCCCCAGGCCATTCCCAAGAAACGGGGCCGAAAGCCAGGGAGTGTGGTGGCGGCCGCCGCCGCCGAGGCCAAGAAGAAAGCCGTGAAGGAGTCTTCCATCCGGTCCGTGCAGGAGACCGTGCTCCCCATCAAGAAGCGCAAGACCCGGGAGACGGTTAGCATCGAGGTCAAGGAAGTGGTGAAGCCCCTGCTGGTGTCCACCCTCGGCGAGAAGAGCGGAAAGGGACTGAAGACCTGCAAGAGCCCTGGGCGGAAAAGCAAGGAGAGCAGCCCGAAGGGGCGCAGCAGCAGCGCCTCCTCGCCCCCCAAGAAGGAGCACCACCACCACCACCACCACTCAGAGCTCCCGAGGGCCCCTGCGTCGCTGCTTCCGCTCCCGCCCCCGCCCCCGCTAGAGCCGGAGAGCTCTGAGGACCCCACCAGCCCCCCAGAGCCCCAGGACTTGAGCAGCAGCGTCTGCAAAGAGGAGAAGATGCCCAGAGGAGGCTCACTGGAGAGCGACGGCTGCCCCAAGGAGCCGGCTAAGACTCAGCCCGCGGTCGCTGCCGCCGCCACAGCCGCAGAAAAGTACAAACACCGAGGGGAGGGAGAACGCAAAGACATTGTTTCATCCTCCATGCCAAGGCCAAACAGAGAGGAGCCTGTGGACAGCCGGACGCCCGTGACCGAGAGAGTTAGCTGACTTTACACAGAGCGGATTGCAAAGCAAACCAACAAGAATAAAGGCAGCTGTTGTCTCTTCTCCTTATGGGTAGGGCTCTGACAAAGCTTCCCGATTAACTGAAATAAAAAATATTTTTTTTTCTTTCAGTAAACTTAGAGTTTCGTGGCTTCAGGGTGGGAGTAGTTGGAGCATTGGGGATGTTTTTCTTACCGACAAGCACAGTCAGGTTGAAGACCTAACCAGGGCCAGAAGTAGCTTTGCACTTTTCTAAACTAGGCTCCTTCAACAAGGCTTGCTGCAGATACTACTGACCAGACAAGCTGTTGACCAGGCACCTCCCCTCCCACCTAAACCTTTCCCTGTGCGGCCATTAGGGACAGAGCGCAGTTGAGAGGACACTCCTGTTTTTGGTGCCATCGGTGCCCCGCCTACAACTCCCTTGGCTCCCCCCACTTCCCCCACTCCCAGCCACGTTGGGACAGGGATGTGTGAGGCAGGAGAGACACTTGGATTCTTTAGAGAAGACAGAGATGGCCAGTGGCTATGGCCCACATGATCCCACCTGTGGTGGCACGAGTCTGGCCCCACACCAGCCCCAATCCAAAACCGACAAGGACATTTCACAGGACAGGAAAGTGGCACCTCTCTGCTCCAGCTCTGACATGGCTAGGAGGGCACTGTCCCTTGAACTGCTGGGTGTAGACTGGCCAGAGCCACAGGACAGGGTGGCCCAGAGTGAGGTGGCAACACCCATTCTCCAGGTACGTCCTCCAGTGGGTGGCGCTAGAGAGACCGTGGAGGCAGCAGGATGAGGCACTGGCAGGCTGGCCCTGGGTCGGGCCTGGCCGGGCAGGGCGGGGTGAGAGGGACTCCTAATCTCTCAGAGCAGTCTGTGACTGGTAGGGACTTAGTGGACAGGGCAGGGGCGAAGGGGGGAGGGGAGAGGAAAATGTTCTTCCAGTTACTTTCCAGTTCTCCTGTAGGGACAGCTTAGAATTATTTGCACTATTGAGTCTTCATGTTCCCACTTCAAAACAAACAGATGCTCTGAGAGCAAACTGGCTCGAGTTGGTGACACTTTGTCCCTCAAGCCACCAGACGCAACGGTGTTCCGAACGACCTGGATTTGTATATACCTGCGCTTGTTTTAAAGTGGGCTCAGCACTAGGGTTCCCACGAAGCTCCGAAACTCTAAGTGTTTGCTGCAGTTTTACAAGGACTTCCTGATTGGTTTCACTCCTCTCCTTCCATTTCTGCCTTTCATTTCATCCTGTCACTTCTTCCCCTGCCTCCTTGCTCCTAGCTCGCCCCTTCTGTTCCAGGCAGCCACAGTGCCCAGCTGTCCCCTGAGCCGACATTTGTCAGCTCCGGCCCCTAGAGCTCTCCCTGCTCTTTGCCTTCCTGCGACAGTACCAGCCCCACCCTGTCTTGAGCCCCGAGGCCTGGCCTCTCTGGGAAGAGCAAGAAAGCGGCAAAATCTTGCTCTCCCAGGTAGCCCCCTCTTCTGGCAGAAAAAAGCAAAAGGCCTTTCGGACCCTGTGTAACGAGCCTTTCCATCCTTTGACTCTAGAGAAGTGGGCTGGAGAAGCTGGGCCAGATTTGATAGCTGAGGAAAGCATAGAGGCCCCCCGGGGCCTACCAGAGTTACCGAGTGGCCCAACAGGGACCCCCATGCCATCCTGACCTTGACGTCACTCAGAAGTCCAGAGTCCAGCATAGCGTGGCGGGACAGCAATGGGACAGGTGCGGGCGCTCCTGAGACCTGAGCTTGGACCAGCACCTCGCCCCCGTCCCCTCCTCTGCTTCTCTCTTCCCATAGAGTTCTGATCTAATGGAGATGGTGGGCCTGAACGCCGCACGCTTCAGTGTCTGCTCCCTGCGTGTGGTGTGGGGGTTTAGAGACTTGGGCTTGCTGTGGGTTTTTAACGGGTCAGTTTTCATTTGGGATCCCGTCTTTCTAACCTCCGTTCAGGAAGTCCTTATCTAGCTGCATATCTTCATCATATTGGTATATCCTTTTCTGTGTTTACAGAGATGTCTCTTATATCTAAATCTGTCCGACTAAGAAGTACCTTATCAAAGTAGCAAATGAGACAGCAGTCTTATGCTTCCAGAAACACCCACAGGCATGTCCCATGTAAGCTGCTGCCATGAACTGTCAAGTGCGTGTTGTCTTGTGTATTTCAGTTATTGTCCCCTGGCTTCCTTACTACGGTATCATCATGAAGGAGTGAAACATCATAGAAACTGTCTAGCACTTCCTTGCCAGTCTTTAGTGATCAGGAACCATAGTTGACAGTTCCAATCAGTAGCTTAAGAAAAAAACGTGTTTGTCTCTTCTGGAATGGTTAGAAGCGAGGGAGTTTGCCCCGTTCTGCTCGTAGAGTCTCATAGTTGGACTTTCTAGCATATGTGTATCCATCTCCTTATGCTGTAAAAGCAAGTCCTGTAACCAGACTCCCATCAGCCTGGTCCCTGTCCCTTCCACCCACCCTGCAGTTGACCTTCCCGACTTCACTCTGACTCCTCCCCAGGAAGGGAAGGGTGTTCAGAGGAGGGGCGAGTCCTTTGGAATGCTCCTTCCTCCAGTCCAGGACAAGAGGCTCCTGACCCCACAGTGGCCTCGCACTCCAAAGGACACCTATCCATGCAAGTGCAGCATCTGACCAGGTTGTCACTGAGAAGATGTCAGTTTGGTCAGTCGGGTTTTTATGTGGTATACTTAGTCCAGCGAAATGTGACTCCTGGACTCAGTGTCGGGGGCTGCTTCCCCATCAACTGGGTGTCATCTGGTCCTGGTAAGAGGGGTGCAGGGCCGATTGGGCCCCTGTCACCCATGACAGTTCATTCAGAGGCTGATGGGGCATTTGTGGCTGGGAACGCAGCATTTCAAGCGTCGTTTTTTGGCCGGCCCCCCTGCAGCTCCCCCGCAGCCCAGCTGCTTTTCCTTGGAGCCCATTCCCAAGCTGCAGGTGGGGCCTGAGGCTCCTTAGGAGTGTCTCTGTTTCCCCTCCCCCGCATCCCTCTCCTTCCCCAGACAAAGGCATCACAAGTCGGTCGCCTGGAGGCAGGCAGCCCGGGCAGTGAATAGCCTTGGCAGACAGGGGCCCCATGGCTCCCATGATGCCCCTGCCTCGGAGTCAGCTTGTCAGGAGGTGGGAGGGAAAGCCTTAAGCCACAGGATTCTCACCAGCTGCGTCCAGCCCAGTTTGGGGGTTTGACCTTGATTTCGTCTATACTGAACACTATGAAGGTTGGGGGGCATCTTTCAGTGAATTAGTGAAGCATACAGAATTGACTGACAGCTTTCTGATGCCCATGGGGCTAGGTCGTTGAGGTCACATCCACAGTGTCCCTACCCTTGTTCTAGTTGTTAGCTACTACCTCCTCTCCTGACAGAATACTGTATGTCCCCCAGCCCCGCAGGTACGCCTGGCCAGCCCTGCCCTGCCTGGTGGTGGGCTTGTCATGACCCGTGGAATTGCTGACCTTGACAGTGCCGTCAGCTGGGGTGCTTGGCCACAGCCAGACTCTAGTACTGCTTCCTCCCGCTGGTGCTGGATTTCCATATCTGAAGGCACAGGGGACACCTGGAAATACCACATCTCCCAGTCCATCAGTGCCAGCTAGCCGAGGGCCCCGGCCTCTCAGCTCACTGGATGGTGAAAGCTGCTTCTCCCGAGACCGATGCAGGTGCTGGCGGCAGTCTGTTCAGTGACACCATTCCAGGCCAGAGGTCACAGCCAGTGCACATGGGAATGGGAGCAGCCCCACATTGTTGCCTTCTCCTCTGCCTAGCTCGTCACTGCTGTGATGGTGGTGATGGTGGCTGTGAAGGAGAGCAGTAACCAGAAACAAACTGCTGAGTTTGGCGGAGACGGGTTTCCTTAGCTGACAGGACCTCTGAATTGTAAATACCTTGCAACCAGCTGCTGGAGCCCAGGGGCAAGCAGGAGTCTGTGCGCTGAGTCCACCAGGGGGAACCAGCTGGATTCCGGTTAGCCTGAGTGGAGCCTGGCAGCCAGGACCCCATACTCGCTTTTGACCACAGCTCCCTTCCAGAGCATGCCAGCCAGGTGCTCTGGGCCACCCGGGCTGGGGGCAATCACAGGTTCTTTGAGAAGACCTTTGCGTATCAATGTTTAGCCTGTGTCGTTGCCCCAAAATTGATTCCTGATTCGAGTTCACACCTACACCAGATTCTAGGACCGACGGCCTAGACTTCGGGGAGCAAGGTTTTTCTAGAGCCCCTGTGGAGGATCACATAGCAAGTCCCCCAAGTTCCTGCCATGGAGCGCCTGCTGGGGTGAGGGGTGCAGCAGCACCCCACCCACGCCTGGGACAGAGCCCTCAGCCCCCACAATGTCTTCCTGCTCCTCCTCTGCTCTCCGCATCAGTGAAGTCACTCTGCTCGGAAGGGAGCTGGTGACTCCATTTGGGTGTCTATCTCTTTTAGATGCTGTATCAATCTTTAGAAAAGGCATAGTCTAATTGTTATACATCGCTAGGATACTGCCTCCCCCAGGGTCTAAAATTACATATTAAAGGGGAAAAACTGAACACTGCAACCAGTTTGCAACAATTTAGAAGGAAAACCTAGAAAACATTTGGCAGAAAATTGCATTTCGATGTTTCTGAATGAGTAAGAGCAAGCTTTTATAAAAATGCTGATCTAAAAACACTTAGCACTTGGCCTGAGATGGTTGGTGAGCACACAGGCAGAGGGAAACCTAGCCTGAAGCCTCCTGTGTCTGAGGCGGGGACCGTCCAGTGCTTGAGTAGCAGTCCCCAAGGACACGGCTCCTGGCCCAGGCCTTTGGGGGCAGTCTGGGGGTTAGCCTGGCCCAGAGCTGCAAGAGCCTGCTGATGGTGTAGAAGGCAGGGCGGTCACCAGCGGCCTGGAGAGCCTGCCCCGCCCTGCTCCTCGCAGTCTCCTCGCCTTGACAGAGCCTGCCCAGGCCCCGTTTGTCAGGAATCCCGGGGGTCTGGGGAGCAGGCTTGCCCGTGGAGCTGCTGCCCTGCGTGTTCCTTCTGCTCTGCTCGCCGTGGGCCTTGGGCCTGGTGAGGCGGTGTGCAGCGGGCACCCTGGCGCTCCTCGACTCGCCCCTCAGCCCAGAGCCCCTTGCTGTCTCCCCAAGGCACCCCGCCTGC